AAGCCTTGAACTGACACTTCAGCAGTCAAGCCCAGTTCTCCTTAGTCCTTACACTGTAAGTATACAGTCAACCTCATCTTTTATGTGAGTCAACTTGCAGTAGGAAGAGTCTGGTTTATATTTAAAATCAGGGATTACAAGCATTATGGACACAACCTTTCTAATCCTTGTTGAACAGCACCTCACTGGGACGGATACAACCATTTGTCCACCCAGACCAGTGGCATCCCTCACCAACCTGCCGTGAGCTTCTCACCACAGATTTCTGTGGAACAGATATCAAAGAATTTGACTTGATACGGGGCGGTGGCTGAAAACTTGTCTGGGCTCTGAATAAGCCAGAAGATAGCACAAAGGAAGCTAACTTTCTTATGCCATGTTTGCAGATTTACTGAGCTGCTCTGCTTGCAAAATGTGATCATTATAAAGACAGTACTTACGACATAGTCCAGGGCAGAGAAGCTGTTCAGGTGCAACTTGTAACATCTTTCAGGTCTGCGTAATTGTGTGCCCAGAAAGTCTCATAACTTTCAAGGCAAGTATATGGATTTGCCTGTATTATGAGGAGGAACAGGAAGAAAGCTGCCACGGAACTGACATCCTAGGTCCTAATGATACAGAATTCTCTGCACTAGGATAGTATTTACTCTACAGCAAGAGGAACCGAGCCTCTTCACAGCCAGTTTGGAGCTTCAGGTATCAGGGGAAGGCCTCTCACGAAGCAGCGTTTAAACTAAACCAAGTTCTGCAACTACCTCCAAGAGTTTGGCTCCTCAAATATCCTTTACTGATTTCTTGTCATGCTCTAGAAGAAAACTCTGGTGAGTACATATGTGTGAAAACCATAGGGGTGGGTGAAGGGAGTGTGAACATGGACTGCAGCTGGGATACTTAATAAATGTCCCTGGACAAAATGATGGCTTCTGATGCCCTGCAGCTTGGGCGTTATCCCTAACAGTCTCCCTTCCTAGTCCATGTGTGGTGGACTGTTATCAAATCATTTTTTCTCCTCTACCAGGGAATATTATCATTACTCCAAAATTTTCAGTGAAAACTTTGAGGGAGAACTTTCAGACAGGTTTTTGGCTGGTCTTCACTGTCCAATTCATGCTCTTAAATTTGTGCATCCCACAGAACTCAAAGGCCTACAGGATTCATTATCTGTAATTAAATCAGCTGACAGCAATGTTAAGAACCCAGTCTGTTTTGTTCGAGTACTGGTAAAAGGCGGAATCACATCACCAAAACCACATCCAGGGTTGTTAGCTGTTGTCCTTGTCTCAGCTTAACTCAGGAGATGCACCTCTGTGCTTATCTCACTGGAGTGTTGCAGTACTTCCTAACACTTCTGTCCCCTTTTTGATGGTGATGGTGGTCTTTATGCAGTGTAATCTGCCTGCAGAAATGAGATAGAACTTGACTGTTCTATAACCTTTTCTTCCCTCATGTTCTTCCAGCATGCTATATGAGAAACCAGGACTGTGCTGGAATAGGGGCTATCTGCTGCACATGGAGGAAATAAGCACTCCTAGAAAACCAGAACTGCAGATGACTCCTGAGTTGTTTGGACATTTATTGAGGCAAGCTTGATGGAAAATTATGATCAAGTGCTCTGGATTTCGCTCTTCAGCAATATGACCTAGCAATTAAGCCTAACAGAACTCTTTTTAGACTGCCTGCTATTGTTTTCTGCAGAAGCAGCTTGATTCTCTCTCTGTTCCTCGCTTAAGTCAACCAATAAACCCAGAGCAGAAGCATTAATGCAGAGTTGTTTACTACAGCAGTGACAAAACAGCTTCTTACTACCCAATCCTGCTTGCATTTTTGCTTACATTTTTCTTAAATCTTAACTCTGTTTATTTTAATTCCTAAGATTTAATGACAGATTTTTTCATTTGTGCAAAGTTTGTTCTTGTGTCATTAACATCTTGGCAGCGCATCCCTCAACTGCAGATCACTGAAGACCGATCGCTTTTGAAGTAATAGAGAAGCTTTGCCAAGGACTAAATAGTCTTGTGAACCCTCTGACCTGATAGAAGCACAAAGAGAGAAACAAAAAGCTACGACATGGCTTTCAGCTTCACTTAGATTCCTAAAGCTCCAGAATAGGGCAAGGGAACACTGAAAAAGAAAAAAAAACTACTGTTGGAGCTCTTTATTCTGCAGCCCGGCACCATCTGGTAATCCTTCTTCTGCCATGCCAGGCGTGCAATCTCTGGTGTCCCAGAAGTTGAACCCTGCAAATCTGGATCAAAAGTGGGAGATGAAAATGGCTCTCCCATAGGCATATTCCAAATAACAGATACATGTTTCTCTAACTGGACCACAATCGCCAACTGGTTACTTAGGTTTAGGCACAAGACAGGGAAAGAAGCAATCTTACAGCAGATGGCTGGCACGTTACTGTAGCTAGGTCTAGATGGGTCCCATCTAAATTGCGTGGTGGTTGTTTTTTTGTTTGCTTGTTCGATTTCTAATGATGGATATTTATTTCTTCTCAGTCCCTCTTGCAGGCAATTTGCTCTAATAGGCTTGTTGTCTTTATTTTAATTTTGACTCCAGAGGAGAGGTTTGCAGACCAGACATCTTTTCTGTTGTTGAGGCTGATAGACAAAAGCAAGACACAAGTCGTGTCCCAGTGTAGTTGGAGAAGCTACACTGAGCAGCCATGAATAACATCAAGTCTCTTCAATGGCTTGGAAGCATATAGAAAACATGCATCTAGCAGTAGCACTTCATTCTGTAATGAGCTTGAACAGTAGGGCTGCAAGCTTAACCACCATGTACAGGAGCTCAAAGGTGTGAGTTTCACAGAGAGGTTTTATGTTAGGATGGGACTCTACAGTGTGTCAGAGTGTGGAAGGTGGCATCTCAGACTTGGCACTCAATATGATTGTTCCAGGTCTTTGGGATGAGCTGCCTTCTGATCATTCACCTTCCGATCCACAGCAGTGGAAGTGGTCCTAGTGTGATCCCATTCTGAATGGCTCACCTACATGGCCTACCATAGCAGCAGTTAGCATTTCTAGGCTGTGAAGAGCAGTAAGTGCATGCTGAAGAGCTGAGATTGAATCGCTGATGTAATGCTTGAAGACAGAAGGAACAGTAAGTGGAATGGCATCCAAAGTGCTACTGGTTAAATGTATATAGTGGAAGGATGTTTCATGGTAACGTGCAAAAAAGCTTTAAAAGAGAATGACACACACAGAGTGCAGTGTGGACATGATGGATGATTTGCATTGCAATTTAATCCAGATGTTTCAGTAGGCATAATTCTGAAACCAACTGCAAAAAGCAGAAATAGAAAGCATAGCATAAAGTTTCATAAAACACAGTAAAGCATTTATAAGCAAATATCACCTTTGAAATCTGAAAACTGCTACTGAAAATAATATTTTATTTGTACTCAATTTTGGAGTGAAGGAGAAAAAAATAAAACAAACTTGAAAAGACTCAGAGTAATGGTGTTGCCATTTCTACCAAAGGATTAATCGTATGGCAGTAAGACAGTGAAGGGAAAGCAAAACATCCAACCTCAACTTATTGATTTCATTGTTATTTTCTTGTAGGAAAAAAGTAGATTAAAAAATGCTATTCAAGTGGCATATGGCCAAATGAAATGATTTTCAGCACTCCAAATTTTAGCTGAAATCTAAGGTTAAAAATGTGAATATATGTTTGTCTAATTATTTTTTTTTTCTGTTTCAAAAAAGAAAATTCTTGAAAATAATCCCTTCTCAAACGTGTATTTGCAGCAGATCAGTGGGCAACTGAGATTAATAAGGGTTGCTGAACAGTGGAGAAGTCATAAACAGGACAATTACATGTTTCTTTGTAGTAAATCAATTTCTTGGTTCTTCTTGATCATTCAGGTTAACGGGATAGTAGAAGCAAGAGGGACAGTAAGACCTTTTAATGATTAATAGTAGCTTTGGATATATTTTTGGTACTGTAGAAGTAGTCATTAGTTTCTGGTTGCTTTGAAAGTTGAAAAGATGGGGATATACTTTTTAGACTTTATCAAAGAAGAGTGTAAAAGTGTACCTCTTATCAAAGATACACTTCATTAGTTCTATTTTCTTTTACTCCTTTGTTATTTTTTCCATTTCTCTTGCTGGTGACCATATGTTGTGTTTGGCAGGCATGTAAGTTCACAGTCTGCCACGTTTGCATGAAAGTTATAGGCATATAGATGTGTAAAAATGCCTTAGTGTAACTTTTATGTATTACTTGTTTTAATAAACTACTTACTTCTTTCCATTGTTCTGCGTATGTCCAACATCTGGTAACCAAGATCTACTGACCACCTTTATTATTCCTAGGCTGCAGATAATTTGCATAATGAATTCTTAATATTTGCTCAGAAATTCTTATCCCTTTAATAATACAACAGGAAGGGATAGGAGTTAATGGTGATTTCTTGCCAATACACCCGGGGAAGAAACATTCACTCTGGTTATGGGAAAAGATTAGGCAGTTATATTGGTGGCAGCGTGCGTTTGTTGTAGATAAAAATGAAAGCTTGTGTTACTTCTGTGTTCAAGATCTTTATGTGGGAAAAACAAGTCATAGGGTCATAGAAATTTTGGAGCGCTAAATTAAAAAATGTTGTGAAAGAAGAAAGATGCTGCATACTGACGTGTTTGGGGGATTGTGTTCTGCACTCTGTGAAAACTGGATGGTACCTAATGCAACCAGGTGGAATAATGTCAGAATCAGGTCTGTTCACATTGCCTCATTGGTTATCCCAGGCATCATGGATAGATTGTAAAGAATAGTAGCTGTACTCTGAGAATGCCCAATATATGCATGCTTTGTTAAAAAGTACTCAAATAGTTTCTTTGCAAAGAGCTGAAGTACTACAAATTGGCTTAGATTTTTCCAGCTAATTAAGATACTTGTGTATATTTATAACTATTTAGTAGTGGATTTTTGATGCACTTTTACAGGAATACTTTTCTGACCTCATGTGCTGTTTTTTCTTTTGTTCAATTTTCCAGCTGCCTGCCCAGTGCTGTGCAGTGGCAATGGTCAATACTCTAAAGGAACCTGCTTATGCTACAGTGGCTGGAAAGGTCCGGAATGTGATGTACCCATCAGCCAGTGTATTGATCCCTCGTGTGGAGGTCATGGTTCCTGCATCGAAGGGAACTGTGTCTGTTCCGTTGGCTATAAAGGAGAAAACTGTGAAGAAGGTAATGCTGGGGCACAATTTCTTTCTGCATTGTGAGAATTTTTTCTGGTTTTGGAGCTCTTAGAAAAGAAAGGAAAGGACAATAATGTTCTAAATGTAAAACTACCGTAGCAGATATTGTGAAAGAGAGGTAGGAATGTAGTCCATCACGATTGTACGGATCTATGAAAGCTTAAATTAAAGTTCTGATTTTTATATACATTGTTACGTGGTGCTAAGAATGTCTGCCACAAGTAAACCTGAATAATTCCTTTTCTGAAGACAGAAGATAAATCTTTTCTTATGGATTGTATTTATTGAACAATTCAGATTTGAAATGCAGAGTAAAAATGAGTAGTGGTAGGGAAAATTGTATAACTGCAGCTCCACACAAAGCAAAGAGATAAATCGCTTTTAAGAGAGAAGTTGATGTGACTGATTGGAAAGGCTCGGGTGTCCGTGTTGCATACAGACGTCACCCAGCACAAATTACTCCTATTAACTGCAGTCTCATAGGCCTAAAGAAAGGTAGCTGGCACACGAAAGCAGCAACTACCTTTGAAGTGTAGAAAAGCTTTTCATGTTGGAAGTGTCCAGTTCTTTGTGTATGCAGGGTGAGCAGATGTAACAAAGCGACCCATCGAAAATGCGGTCATAGATTGAGCGTGGTGTTGGTTTTATTCACAGTGGGTGCTGTTAGACTGCACTGCAAAGTCAGACTCCTGTTCTTTTTAAAATGCATTGCTATAGTTTTAGAAGGGAATTTAACTCTCCAGAGGACTGCTAGATAGACAGTTCTGCATACCTTGGCATGTCCTCAGAGAGTAATATTTCAAGCAATTTTATGATGACTTCTCAGAGTTTATTAATCCTCCAAAAGGAGGAGCAGTTTGAAGACAAAGGTGACAGAACTGGAGCTGCGTGGGTTTAGGACTGAAGGGCCTCTAAGGAGTATTCTGAATGGAATGCAGCCCTGTACACTGCATATGTATCAATGTTTATCTTACCAAACACCTATTTCTCCCATTAAAAAGAAGGGAAGGGAAGGGAAGGGAAGGGAAGGGAAGGGAAGGGAAGGGAAGGGAAGGGAAGGGAAGGGAAAGGGGAAAGTTGGGAAGAAGGAAGGAAAAGGAAGGAAGAGAGGAAACTATAGGGACCTGAACCACTAAGGGACTTCTTTGGATGCGGACTGCAGTCATCAGCTTTAGGACAAGTCTGTGCATTAGTCTGTGTGAAGTTATTTTGCTAGGAGCAAAAATAAGCTGTGATTCTCACTGGTGGAACTGCCAAAACTGCAATAATTTCTTCAGTTCATTCTTGTCATCTCTTTCCAGGAACAACGCTGTAGCTCTAATTCAGAACCAACTGAAATCAGTAGATTTTCCATTTCTTCTTTTTACAGTTTATGCAACATCTAGAAAATTCTGCAATGTCCTTTTTGAATGCTAGATTTGATAGTTGGCAGTTCACCCTGAGTGTTTCCCAGTGATTCTGGGAAAAATTCAAAGATGGTCTGAAATGCCCTGCTGTAAGCAGTGTTCTCATGGGCACTGGACATGGAAAAGACCATGTAGCACACTGCAACATCCAGTCTATTCCCTAGGAATGCAGAACCTCTCTGGCACAAACTGCAATTGTTTGCACAGTCTAATTAAGTTATATGAATTTCATCATGCTCTTCATTGTTATATTAGAGTTAATATTATTAGAGAGACTATGGGAGATGGCCTAAATTGATCTTTCTTTCATTCAATTCTGTAAGTTTTACCTTGTAAGCAGTTCCTCACCCATTTATATTATAATTTCCAGATGCTCTCTTTACTTTCAATTGTGTAGAATGCTTGTTCTATATTTGGGCTAGACATCTCGAATCCCCTAACACTCCTGTAAGAGAAGTAGGTTTTTGTAGTGCTTAATTCAGCTTATCCTACTGTGAATGTTTGAAGAAGGTAAAACAAATACATCAGCAATTCCAGATAAGTTTATAGAACAAGCAAGTGCGTGGATAGCTGCAAAGGGGTTAATGTTAACACCTTCCAGAGCTGGAAACGCTACAAAATTTTCAGTCAGCAGTGTTGGGGAGATACATTAATACGTGAGGGGAAAGGATATAGATTATTTAATCACCAGTGCTTCAAAGGATAAGGATTCTAACAGATAAATGGATTACAAAGGCAAAGAGGTATTAACTGCAAACTTGGAAGTGCCGATAACATGATAGAGAAGGTTAGAATAACCTTTTGCATACATCATTGAGCAATGAATAACTCAATAAATTAATTTACAAATATATAAAGAATAACCAACATTTCTTCTGTAAAATTCCCTTACTTCTTCACATATTTCTCCTATTACTTCATGAGCTCTGGGAAAAGGATCTGATATGAAGTCTCTCCAGTTGCAAGTAATCATCTGCTCGCATTTAAACTTTCTGTTTGAATTATTGTAGAACGATACAAATAAATATATCTGTATTATATTGTAATATGAAATCTCTACTGATTTGAGTTTTCAGAAAGAATAGCGAAGGTTGGTTCATCCTCCATTTTCCAGCGAGGATACTGAATTAGAACAAATGGGTCAGCATTTTTCTTCTTCCAGTTCACTTTTTATTTCTGATATTCATCATGGTCTTACTGTTCAAACAATTTACCTGAAATGAAAGTGGCACTAAAATCAATATTTTTGATGCACAATTTTTGCAGCATAAACACTGTTGTTCTATTAACAAATTTGCACACAAAACGAAGGGGCATATTTGCCAGGTTTCATTCAATCTGGTATGTGGGGAGACAAGTCAAATTGACAAATTAGGTTAACGGTGTTTTTCTTGTCACTTTCATGGTCGAGTCATTTTTCAATGACATTTAACTTCATAAATGTAATTCATGGCTCTTTGGGGGTTTGTGGTACATATTGTTCATAAAACTCCTTGACCTCCTTTTTTGTCCTTAGGGATATAAATTGCTTTCAGTACCCTTTTTATCAAATCTACAGAGGGCCCAATACTAAATGAGCTCTAATGATCTGAGCTGCCAAGAGACTACGAATTCTAAGTCTAACAGAGTGCTTTGCTAAAGCATGTTGTCCTTTGTTTAAACACCAAAGAATCTCCATTTATAATTCCTTATTAAGTCCATTGTAAACTCTTCTAAAGAGCTGGGGACAGAACCTGTGCAGAATTAGCCAGTGCAGTTCTATTGCAAGTAATCAAGTTACGCTCGTTTTGGCAGGGTTCACGTGAGTTGTTATTCTATAAAATGATGGGGCTGGGATTTGGGGGAATTGGGAGGCTTATTCTGTGTTAATAAAGCTCAGCTGAAAGCATGCAGTAATTTTGCAAAGAGGAAAGATAGTGCATTTGTGTGGAAGGATAGGATTTTGTTCCGCATTGCTTTCATTAGCAATGGAGAAGGAAGGAGGTACATTTCTAAAAGGGGGCACATTGGTACTCGTCAGTATTTCCTCAGGTTCCCAGCTGTGCTGCAACGCACAGCAGAAAGCTATACAAATTATCCATTTAAATTTCACATTAAATTATCACCTTTAAAAAAATAATAATACATTTGGGTGAAAACGTGACCTTCACCCATGAGGTAAATTGACCTGATTTTTTTCTTCTGTTTATTTATTTATTGGACAAGATTCTTTTGCCTGTCTGGTTCAACAGAAGTGTCACGAAAGGCGTATTCTTTGGAGCTTCTGGTTTTGTTCAGCACCAAGGCACACTAACAGTGCAGGGGAAGCATCCTGGATAGCTTTAGAACAATTAGTCATTTATCATTTTTCTCTGACATTTTTTTTTCTGAACAATCATTGTTTATGTTTATACTAAATTGCACAATAATGTTTTCATACCCAATTAACTGAACCGTAAATCTTAGCAGAACAAACCCACCACACTGGGGTCATTGCTACTGTGAAAATCTTGTACGAAGTGTTACAGTAATTTCTGTGCTACTGTAATCTGAATTAAAATCTAAGGTGAGTTATTCTGATAGCTCACATTATTGTATATCTAAACGTGCCTGCTTCAATCCTGAGTTGTATCTAATCTATATACTTACTTTAAATGTTCTGTAACTTCATAAAATAATTTGACATGTCTGTTTATAGAAAAGTTGAGATTTAAGAGATCAAGTATTGTTCGCATAAGTTAAAGTGAAAATGTCTCTGCCTTAATTTAGAAGGATCAATTTGGAAAAGATGAGAGATAAATCACTTTCATTATAAACTGAGATCTTCCTAGAGCTGCAAGAGAGAATGCCAATCATTCTTGGTTCTTCTCCTGTGAGCTGATATATACTAGTCATGAGGTGAATTCATTTTATTTAGGGCATAAGTTTGACCTTGGCCCTCAATTCCCCAGCAAGAGGCAGCTGGTAAAGCCTCACTGCTGCTGTTTGCAGGAGAGCATTGTACACTTACACAGATTCGTGGTATGAGATGGAAATTTGGAAAACCATAATGTTACTGATAGAGTTTATTTGAAAGAAAGCTCGTAGCATTCCTTTTATTTGTCAGGGCTAAAATGGCAAAAGACATTTTATGGATGCCTTTCCATTGTAACTGTTTTTACCTTCTTCTTCTGTTGTTTCCGGATGGAGAAGAGATGAAATCTGTATCTACATCTGTGTTTAGTTACTAACGAATTGTCTGCTGGTTAGAACATAGGTTGAAGTAACTGGGTCTTGTCAGTCTCACTGCCATAGTGGAGTAGGAACGGAGTTCCTGGTGTACGGGTCTAAAAGAAGCTGAAAGCCACAGATAATTTGCCTTCTAGGTACCCAAATGAGATATCACAGTATCATTCTCACAGGCGTCCAGCATTCGAATGGCAGTGATAGTACTGATGAAGACATTGCATTTCATTTGTTGTTGTTGTGTTTTGTTTTGGTTTTTAATTTATTTTATTTTTCAGAATACTGTTTAACTCATTAGAACCAGAGTGCATTTAAGAAGTAATGTCCCCATTTAAGGCTTATGTAAAGAACTCTCACTGTGTGTTTTAATTTTGAGCCTTCCTGCTTTTTCACCATGGAGTTCATGCAGTAAGAGTTTGTTTTTCAGTCACTCCCTATTTCAGATGGACCTAATGCAAAACACAGATTACTTCACACTTCTCTGTTCTCAGACCAGGTACTTATGGGACGTGAAGAATCATATTGATTTGTTTTATTTTGCCGCTCTGTTAAGATCTTCAAAGTGTCCATCTACTTTTTTTCCATACATCATATTGTGGGAACTGACCTTTGCGTGCATTCTTTTTGTTTTCTTATTTAGTTGATTGCTTAGATCCAACATGCTCCAATCACGGAGTCTGTGTGAACGGAGAATGTCTCTGCAGCCCAGGCTGGGGTGGAATAAACTGTGAGCTTCCCAGAGCCCAGTGTCCAGACCAGTGCAGTGGGCATGGCACATACCTGTCTGACACCGGTCTGTGTAGCTGTGATCCCAACTGGATGGGACCTGACTGCTCCGTTGGTAAGAAAACTATTTCTTGTGATTTTGCATCAGTGCTCCTATTCTGGCAAAATGTTAATATCAGAGGCAAATTTGAAATGCAAATAATTTACAAAATTGTCTTAGGAACAGGCTTGGTCCTGTTCTGGACTGTGTTGGAAAGAAGCATGCATACATTTTAGATTATTTTATGTGACATCCCTAATTTGGGACTGACAGCTCGGGGTGGGGGTGGGGGTTAGGAGCCCATATTTCCTTCAGATACTGACGTCCTTCTGAACTGAGAAAGTTACTTAACTGCTTCATATCTCTTTCCTCACTTTGACTGAAAACTTCCATTGCAGAGATTCACAGATACGTCCATAATATTTGAAAATACTCTATTTTTGGTGCTTGCTTTATGGCACATCACAATTCTACCCACTTACGAAAAATATCACAAAACAGCAAGATCCCCTAAATATGGGGTATTTTTCAATTTTCAGTTGTACACTGAATATTTAACCAATTAGTTTTAGGGCAAAAGGCACTCTAAAAAGCAAGAACAGAAGTGTAAGCTGAAAAATTCATCCTCTTCAATGCTGCAGTTGACTGAATATTGTAAAAGTGTTTATTCTAACAGAAGTAGCTAAGGGGAAAAAAAGAACAGCTTTGACATGACAGCAAATGTTCTGTTTGTGGGGAAAAAATACTTGGAATTTTGCATTTATATTGTAAGCTGATTCTTGAGGTGCAGTTGTCTCTCAAAATAATATTTACAGCTTTCACATTTATTCAGTTATTTCTTAAAATTAATGACTCAGAATACCCTACCAGTGAAATGAGGATCGAGATATGTTTTTTCTGCTTCATGCATCAGCAGCAGCCAGCAGAATTCATGAATGAGAATTTAAACTGTCAATTTCTTTGATGATGCGTGAGGCAAAAGACCCTCTGCTGTTCTACAACTGCTGGCAGAGAGCAAGAGAATTTAGGAGCAAGGTGCTGTGTGTCCCACCATTGTTAGCAATAGGATTCCAAATCCGTCACTTGCTAGTATGTTTTCCAGTCACTCCGAGAGTCTCTGTGACCCTGAGTTGTGACCATTCTCTGCTGAATGTGTCTTAGGTGAGTTTCTCAGTCTCGTTCTTAACAAACAAATGCATTGAAATCGGCGCAGGTTCAGGTTGGAGTAAAGCAGATCTGTGTTCCCCCTTCTGCCATACTGAAAGGCACTGAGGAAATTCTCTGCATTGGAATGGAGGACACAGCTCTACTGTGATCTGTCCAGAATACAGCAGCAGATTTTTGCAGTGATTTTCTTAACTTTGCAAAGTTGATTGCTTAATGCTGCTTTTGATCCCCACACGAAGAGGCCTGCTTTCAGCAAATGGGTGCTTGTTCTGCTCGACTTCTGACTTAGATTGCCTCTGACATGAGCCAGCTATAACCTGTATTCTTTTTTTCTCCTAGAAGTGTGCTCTGTAGACTGTGGCACCCACGGGGTGTGCATTGGTGGAGCATGTCGCTGTGAAGAAGGGTGGACAGGAGTGGCGTGTGACCAGCGTGTGTGTCATCCCCGTTGTACAGAGCACGGAACTTGTAAAGATGGGAAATGTGAATGCAGAGAGGGCTGGAATGGGGAGCACTGCACCATTGGTAGGCAAACGACAGGCACCGAAACAGGCACATATTGCTTTCTTTTCATAAATCGTAGAGACATAGTTACTGTGGTGTACTGTGATAGGCTGTTCCTTTAAGGACCCTAATGCTTTCCAATATTATCTTGGGCTCCAGATGCGTTGGGCGAAATGCAGATGAGCACTTAGAATCATTGAAAATAAATAACAAGCTGGTTTGGGGGGAAAAAAATCCACAGCAAATGAACATTAGTAAGTAAAGATGTAACAAATGGTCCATCACGGTGTCCTTTGAGCCAAGCTTTTCAAACTTAACTAAACATTCCTTTGTGTGAATGGCATCTTTTTTAATTTCCTGGTCTGATGCATCAGTACTTTCCTGCTATTATACATCACATCTGAAACACACCACCACCATCTCCACACAGAGCAGGGGTCAAGTGGTGGAGGAATAAGTGCTCCTGGTGCTACAGAAATAGCTCCCTAGCATTTCCCTGTGTTGTGCTGTGACAGTGGGCATGGTGTTTGCATATAGACAAGCACAGCATGGGAGGGCCTGACAAGTAGTGCAGCATGCTGCTGTACCCTTTCCTAATAGTGTGTTGCTCAGCGCAGTGTTGGCATCATGCAGAGAGCTGTGACTAACACGATTGCATCTCAGCTGTGATGTGTCAGCCTGGGAAGTTCAAAAAGGTTATACTTACACAAAGTAATGATGTGCTATCCCTTCAATTACAGCACTTGAAATCTTATTTTGAAGAGCAATTAATTGTTCCTAAATGATGTTCTTTATTTTGTCCCTACGAGCAGGCAGGAGGGGTATTTGGACAATATTATCAAATTACTGGAGGGGTGGGGGAAGGAAAAAAATGTTATTTTCCCTGTATTGTGGTTGATTGTAGTTGAGAATGGGAAGATCTAAGTGGTCAAATCTTTTTTGAGAACTATAAGCAAAATTGTATGGAGTGAGAGTATCCAAATATGAACTGGAACTGTGTGAGTTTCAGGCAAGTGTATTTTTCTCTCAAAAAATTATAGAGGACGATGAGGTGTACCTTAAATAAAAACCTGGTGAGTCAAGAACCAAGATCTTCTTGAAGTGATGAATCTACCAGGGAAAAGGAGTAGGTCAATTGAGATTTTCATGGCAATAAGGGACCCTAATGGGACAGTCCTATTACAAGTGAATTGCTATTTCTTTAATTAAAACTATGGTGAGATTATTGCATCCCTCAAGCTGTTTTTCTTTTTCATTCCCCTCTGATTTCTCCTTGAATATACAAACCATTTCAGATGCATACATGAGTTGGAAAGTAAAAGAATATGCTTATTGGGAAAAAAAAAAATCATATTTTTAGGGCATATCTCCGACGTTGTGGTGCTGCATGCTTCCACCGCACTACGCCACTATGATTAAAGTCAAAGCTTTTGTGATTGAGCACTTTGTCACCAGCAAAGATGCAGAGTGTTTATTCGCAACTGCTTTCTGACTTCCATCATGTCAACATCTCTCTGCTGGATTAATCCGGGCGTTTTGTTTTAATGTTGAGTACTTCTCAGATCGTTACAAAATGCCTACTTTACAAATATCTTTGCATTAAGTTGTGTAATAATTGCTTATTCTAAAAGTTGCTTCTTTGCCTTTTTTTTTTTTTAATAATTTTTTAGAATCATGCCTGTTTAGAGATAATTAGTGTATTTCAAGTCTTCATTACTGTGCACACAAAAAGATGCCTTGTACTGATATCATAAAAGAATTCGGAAAATTACAACTTGGACAAGTGAATCCTGAAGTGAGATTTTTCGTTTAATTTTCAGAGCTGTGAAATAAATACTTTCCCTATTATTTTTCTTTTGAGAGGAAGGCCAATACTGTTGAAGTGATTAAAGTAAATAAGTGTAAGCTTATTATTATTTGGGAGGAAAAAAAAAAAAAATAGGTTTGCCCTTCCAGTTATCATACATTTAAATTTGTGCAGCCATAAGCTGTGTGCTACATGTGGACAGATAGATGTTGTTGTGACGAGGCTGTATTAATGAGACATTCCCTGACTGTCAGACCATTGACAAAAGCAACAAAGCGTGATGCCAGAAATGGAAGTCAGCTGAGGAAAGCATCACAGCTTTATCCCATCAGTTTGTTTTCTCTGCTTTGCTTTTAACACAGAGGCTGGTTATATGGGGCTCAAAAGGAGAGAGCGTGGAAGGTAAGGGTGATAAAACTAAGCTTTGTCAGTGATTGTAAAGAAAACACTAGGAGTTACCACTAGACAATTGGTCCTTCGAGAATAGATTGGTCCTTGGAACAAAGAATCAGTTGCTCAGTGTACTTTGAACGTTTGTGTGAATAGTTAAAACATACTTAAATTTTACAGGAACTCATTCTAACTTAGTGAGTTCCCTTTATGGGTTAAGCATTCAATTGAAACGTTGAGATCAGAAGTACTAGCTAGGGAATGTCTGCCTTAAACAATTATATTCAGGAATTTTAATTAATGGTTTTTTAATGCAGAGCCATTCTCTTAGTCCTGTCTGGAAGGTACCTTGCAAACCCCACAGGTCTGTCTGTCCGAAGAGGAAGCAAGGCCAGGTCAGACGCAGAAGGCATACAAGCAAAGGCTGAATCTTTCTCTTCCCTCTACACAGCTTCAGTTCTTTAATAGCTGTGTTCAGTCTCCAGGAACTTCATGATACACACTCCCTATACAGTCTTCAAGCAGAAAACTGGGATTCCTGTAGGAGAGTTTATTTGGTCTGAACGTTCATTTATTGCTAGACCCAGTCTGAATTCCTTTCAAGTCAGGAGAAAAGCTTGCTTTGATTTTAGTGGCTTAAGCCAAGTCTGTTCAGGATAAATCAGTCCACTTTGTGAGGAAAAAGAGGTTTCTATATGTAAACCAAACTTTGTTTTATTCTCTTTGTGTTTCTTTAGCAGTTTCTCATTCTATATCCCCATCACAGTGGAAAATAAATCATTATAGCAACCTGCAGGTATCCAAGTTTGTCAGGTTATTTTGTTCTGTCTAACATACAGTCAGTCTTTTAAAAACAATCCACTATATGTGCTTTGGCTTTTCAGCATTGAGTATCTAAGCTCATATACCCTCTCATGAGCTTTAAACAAGAACGAGGTTTGTCTCTGCATTAGCTGCATTATAGGAAAAAATATCTGCAGTCTCAGCTCACTGGTAACAAGCTGTGCAAGGCAGCCTTCACCTATGTGTATCAATGGAGTTATATATAAAAACCAGTCAGCACAAATTCCATGTCACACAAATTTTGAAGAATCCATATCCAAATAATATAAAAATGAAAGGATTGGTGCCTGGTCTTACTGAAGTGCTGGCTGTAGCAGAGCAGAACTGTACTCCAGGCACTACATTTCACTTGGCTACTTCAGTTGGGAAGAAAAATTGCTTACTGGAGTGATGATAAAGAAAATGAATCTTTTCCAAGTGCAAAAATAGACCTGTCAGGATATCTTTATTAAGTGATTACTATTCAGTGATTGCAATTATGGAGGAAGCTATAACTAAATAATAGAGGTAATCTAGATGAGGAAAAGATTATTGGAAAACCACTAGCAAAGCAAAAGACTAAGATACAGCAGTTGCTAAATCTTGGACCAATTTCATGTCAGAATTTTAAGATGAAGGATTTATCTTCTCCTTGAAGCATCTGCGTGTTGCTAAAGCATGCTGTTATGAAACCATTCTGCTACTTTCACTGAAAATAATACTTGAATTTGTAAAACTATTGTTTTGAATCTACTGTGAGGGTGTTCTCTATGTAAACTGTCAGAACTGTAGACTGAGAACAATGTGATATGTAAGGAGATCTTAAGAAGCAGACAAAAATATCATTTTTAAAGTGTAATTCTATCTGTAATTCAGATCCCTGCAGCATGAAATACAACTGCTATTAAGTGATTCGTAAAAATCTTACTGTGAGACCAGAGAAACCAGGATTTCATCCTGAATATTTGTAAGTAATATTTAAAAGACTGCAAACATGTTTTATCTTATAAGGTGAGCTCTCTCATTGGAAGTCGATACAGGAGATTTTATCAGGGCAGCCTGCCATATTCCCAAAGCCTCTCTCTCTCCTGACATCTTGCAGTAGGTGTAAAGTAAGCACTCCTGCTTTCAGACAGGAAGTTGGGGCAAGATTGGAGTAAAGGATACTTGATAGTACAGATACTCTGCTGCGAGTTAAAATCAAGATAATTCTTATCTTTTCTGTTTTTCTATTTTCCATGCAAACAAGCTGTGACCCCTTTGTCAGCCCTAGAAGCTGAGCTTCCAGTGCCTACCTAAAGGCAGAACACAAGGCTAGACTAAACTAGCAGTGGTAATGTGTGCATTTCTGCAGATTCTGCTTCGTGGCCTTGGTACTGTTTTTCAGGATCCAACTCTCTTTCTCCCACTGAGTTCTTGGCCTCTACACTGACAGTGTCAATGGCAGAAACTGTTCCTTAGCCAATAAAAAATTCAGAGATCTATATTAGTACTGTACCTTATCTTGTAGATTTTCAGGGCCTTGAATAAAGAAGGATTTGAAGGAACTGGGATCCTGTAAACTACATGGTGAGAAGTAACATAAAACCTTCAAATTCATGAAAAAGTGCAGGAAAATGAAAAAGAAGACTCTGTCTGGGATGATTGGTAAGAAGTTTAAGTTACAAATTGGGACATTTGATTAGGTAATAGGAAAATATTGTTACAGAAAATGAAAAACTAAGCGAGTTGTGGAATTGCTTCAGTGGAGCTTTTAACAACAATTTAGACACTATCAAAAATAGCGTGGAGATAATTCATCCTGCGATGGGGCAGAAAGCCGACCAGAAAATCATTGAACTGTATGAGTTCCCTTCCAGTGTGATTTTAAATGATAGTATAAAATGGACTGTTGGAGCTTAAAAGGAAGCATTCCATTTAAATATTTTATTTTATAATGGTCCAAGTCAAAATTTGTACTTTCATCCCCTCTAAGAACTTGTAAAAGTAGATTTCAAGCATT